TTGAAGTTGAAAATCGAACCATTATTTCGACTACTTATCGTGTAAACAGACACAAAAAAAAATAAAATTAAAAAAAAAAACACACATCATTGTAAAATCAATACATTCCACACAGAATCTAAAATATCAAGATCACAATTATTTTTTATAAGTAATTAAAATTCTAGTTTTGATAAAATTCATAACTATCACGAAAATGTTCATACCAGATACTAATTAGTAATTTTTAGTTAAAAATTTATAAAATTTTCAATTTTTATAGCTTGCATCTGAAAGTTTAACACAATAGGTTTCTTATAAGTAGCTTTTACTGAACCTCAAAAATCTAAAGCATATTGAACCACAACAGATGTAAAGTTTACATTTTGATTAAATTTATTGAAACGAAGAATTATATTATATTATGTAGTTGACGACGATTTTAGTTAATTTGTTGTTATTAAAATACATTTGTGAGACTTGAAACTTTTATTACGTGAACTGTACGACTATCATATTTCACTGATGAAACGTATTTTCAAAATATTTATAATAATTTTAAGGTAATGACAGTTTATACCACCAAATCGTTCTAAGGTGAATTGGTATGGATTCAAAAGTCAGTAAGTAACAATAATAATTTAATATATTAATATATTATTATGAATTATCATATAACGTAGGTATCTGGTATTATAGTCCTATAATATATTATCATACCTATACAAATATACAATATCAATTATCATTATAATAAATCGGTTGTATTCCGCAAAGATTAATACATATCAATAAATCATTATTACTATTAATGTGATACCAATTGTAAAATAATTTAGTTAAATAGCAGTACAAAATGTACTCTTATGATTAAATATATTGTACTAAGAAATATTACGAGTATAATATTATGCTAACTGACGGTTTCCGGCCAGAACCGTTTTTCGACCCTTCGCCCATCATAACAACAATGACCTACTCAATGACTATATGTACCTATAGGTACACGATATATCTACAGTAAAGTAGATTGGTACTTTCCCACTTTCAATTTATTGAGACTTATAAGTCCTTGGCTGACGGGAAGCACTTGGTTTATCTAATCTAACACATTTTAAGTATTTTTTTTTTTTTTTTTTGATATTAAAAAATATTAAATAACAATTCTAATGTTTTATAATCTTCATTAAATTGTAATTGTTTTATATAATCTAGCACATAATGTTTAACATGTACAAGATTACTGTTTTTTTTTTTCATATTATTTTGAAAACGAATTACAATGGATTCTTTGATTTCAACATGTTCACGACCACGTGTCAACAATAATCAACGTCGGGATTTCTTAAGACAATACCCTTCAATGTCAAGACTAATTGACTTGAGGTATATAATTACTGTAATTTACGGAATTATTATTTGAAACTTGTTTTGTTCCAACGAATATCATACGATAAAATGGATATTTGCTAAACCCATCCCATTTACTTAGATTAAAAATCGGGCCACTATAGCGATATTATCGTCAGTATATTTACTGGTGTCACAACTGCCCTCAAGTCACCCACTTTTACCTTATTATTATTGTATTTGTTCTATGTGGTGTTTTATCAAAAGGAAATACCGTGGTCATTATACCCCGGACCTGTACACTCATATTATATTTACTTGTCTGTAGTGGCTATATTTTATTTATTTATTATATTTAATATTTAAATTATGATTACGTTAATAATTAAGATAAAATGTCATAACGGTATCATAATAATATTGAAGGACTACCGGCAACCGTTTATATTCGATTATACCACAATAAGTTATTTATTTTAGATAAGTATAAACTTATTACAATTAAAATTAACAAGTAGGTTAGTTAATCTAATTAAAAAGCAACCGATTTATCGCGATATCCTATTTCCCTCTTGCATTTCCTCGCGATCGACTGTTTCCAAACATTTCACCACTTGTCGTAAGAGATTATCAGCAGCATTTCGTTGTAAATTAAGTTTGACTCATGATATAACCAACTTAAATTTATTTATTTATTTTTCTTCAGTATACAATTACTTTTAGAATTTAAATACCTAAGATTCGTATTTAGGAGCATAAATTATTTATTAAGTTTAATATTTATATAGGTGTTTATCCAAACATAAAATAAAGCATAATATATTACCTATATAGTATATACAATATTATTCTTAAAACATTTTTAGGAATATTATGTATTATTTTAATTGGTTATATATTATGTAAATCAAATTTAAATACATTTTTCAAATACCATATAAATATAGTACATAACCGACGTTAAAATAAACATTTAAAATGTTCCAATAACCTAGGAAATCTAACCTGAAATAAGAAATCACAGAGAAACTTCCATAATTCGTACCTACCATAGTGAATTGTATTAATCAAATTTGGTTAGAATTCGGTTCGATACATAAAAATATTTCGTCAAACAGAAAATTTTGTTAAATTGAAATTCTTTATAATATGGAAGTTTCAATGTATTATACCTAATACGGAAGTACAGAATCTTCAATAGAATTTCTAAATCGCATAGATACTTAATTAGTTCAACAGCTGCTTGACTAAATAAATCTATTGAAGTGAATATGATCAAAAATCACTATCTCTCTCCGCTCCAGTAAATTGTTATATTATCAAAACATGCCTGCCCTTTAAAAAGATTAAACAAATTTACCAGCAAAAATTGTAGGGAACAAGCGTTATGTGATTGTCGGTTATTTCACACAGCATTTAAGAGGGTCACTTTTACCTATAATAGATGTACCACAAAAATATCCTGTGTTATACACAATGTCGCTGTCGCTTAGCCTTTGAAAATCACTTATTATAGTCATTTTGGTTTTTAGCTGTCAAATTATGAATTTTTGTAGGTTTAAACGTATCTAGAATCATGATTTACTTTTGTCATAGACATCAGACGATAGACTACAGTCCATGTGAATACATTTTTGGTAGTGTTAATTGTGGACGAATTCCTTAATCGTCCTAAATCACTGGCATATAGTTATTACAATATAGTAACTTATTGTTATGTACATTATATTATAATAACTGATAAGGTTATTTTATATTTCATTAAAATAAATAAATCTGTAAGCAGGGAGTAGGTACCAATATAATTAAATTTGTGATTGTATTAAATTCGATAAGTAATACAATATTTAGGTATGTACTGATCATTTTTTTTCAATTTGATTTTTCACTCAATTTTTCCTCACTATATCTTTTTGCATTACCTATATTAATTGTATGTATTTCGATGAATGATTATGCAAATACTTAAATTACATATTATTATGAATATGATTTATACAAGGCCATATAGAAAAAGAAAAAAAAAATATAATACGTCTTACTATTTATAGTTTCCACGGACTCAAAGTTATTCTTACAGAAGCTATTAAAATATAATAATATGATGGTATATAAGAAACTTCGGAGATCAAATTTTAAAAAGGAGGAAGTATTCTATTTTCAATTAGATTAATGTTTTATTATAATACCTATATTATTATATATTAATACATTTCTTTTAATTAAAGAGTAAACACTACACATACATACATTTTCATTATTCATAATTATTGTTATATTATGCATTAAAAAAAAAATAATAAAAACGCTTGTTATGACCCTAAAAGTCTAAACGATGCCAATTAAAATGTAAGAACATTATCTGTTGATTTTCTTAAGATATTTTTAAGCGAGTTTTGGACAATTTCGTAATATTTCATATAATATCCATAAGTCGTTCGATAGAAGTCACCTATCAGTAATCATAATAATATATGTCCCCGATGATTGTGAATTATCAATACCTAGTTTTATTAATTTGTATTATTATCAATAAGTTGTGGTAAAACAGTAAAATATCCTAAGTGATAACTGATAACTCACAAGTTATACTCTGCACTGTAGTAATTTGAGAAATAAGAAACTAGAATTTATTATATGGTTACCATTGATAAATCGGGCAGATCGAGTGCAAGCATGCATCGAATAAAATTTTCGCACATTGCCCACATTCATATGATGTCACACATTATCCTACGTAGTCGGATTGCTTACCGGAGAGACTGAGTTGTACCCAAAAGGAGTTGAACAGTTAAAATTTTTTTTAAAGTTGTAACTTTTTACCAGCTAGTAACAAATACTATTATATATTTAAAAAAAAACATATTTTTGAAGTCACGGGTTTGATGGTTGATTATTCGTTACATCTCCGACGGCTCCAAAATGTAAAGCGAGATTTGTGATTACAAAAACAAAATTTCCAAATTTTGATATCCGCAAATATTGTATGACTTATTTTGTAATAATAACTTGTAATAATTATACTCATAAATAATTAACATTTCAACATTAATTGGTTCTATTAAGGTCCAATCAATAGTTAAAATTATTTTATTTTACTTTATATTGTTTATTAAGTAAAAAAAAAAACTTTTAAATATCATATATGACTATAACAATGTGAAATTCGGAATAAAATCATATTATAGACAACAGAATTTAATTATACATTTTAAAATATAATAGTCTATCATATTGTCTTATAAAATAAAAATTAATAATAAATAGTTTGTAAACACTTTAGGTATGGAGTAGTATAAAACTTTAGACTAGCTCGTGTCGAAGTGTGTGAAGCAAAATGAGTGCCTTGTCATTACATCCTGTTCATATTTTTTTTCATTTTATAATCTAGTGAATTATTTAAATACTTAACATTATGTAATTATGTAAATAATGATTTTTTTTTTATTTTAATTGAAATTTCAATTATATTTTATTAACTTAAGCAAAACAAAATACTTCAACATTTAAAATAATTGAACAAAAAATATTATAATTTGTACAATGACGTTGGTAATTTCGTAGTGTTATCGAAATCATCAATTATTATAACAAACAAACTTAAACTATAAAATGCAACGCTACTAGCTTAGAGCAAGCACAATACCATTTTCGCCGCCGGCACTGCCATCATGTACGTTACATTTCAAATAAAACAGAAAAATATGGCTAATTTATTGGGTAATTATATTATATATTTATAAAAATTATAATTTTAAATTAAGAATTGAGTTTCGTAATTCGTAATGCTTAATCATGTACGGTGAATATATTTTATACAATTATTTAATTTTATTCAATTTAAATTTGCATTGAATATAATTTGTTTTTATAAATTTCGAACTTAAGGTCTCGACACTATGTGACCGTCTTAACTATTTTGCTCACTATACATACTATAGACGTATTACCTAACAGTCTCTAATAATATGTGTGTTTATTTCTATAATGTTATCCGATATTTTTGATTCTTTAACTGTTAAATCAAGTGATGCTGCTATAGGATTTGACACAGAACCTTATGGTCGTTTTACAGATATTAATAAATTATTACCTGTTTTCTTTTAACACTTAAAACAAACATTTAAGTTTATTTTATTAAATTTTGAACTACACTTTCATACTTTTTGAATTCAAAAATTAATGCTTAGCATAACTAATAATATTTAAAAAATAAATTACTTGTACGTTATAGTTAACTACTGGAATGACAACACCGTTCATTATTATTAAATTAAAAAAAATTATTTAAAGAAAATATTCACAGAACTAAAACCACTGGATACTGGATAGATAACATTTATGATAATAGTTCTGAATAATATTCAAAATATCATAATAAGTATTCAATCAAAATTCACTCAAAGTGATTTTGATAAATTTTAAAATAGATTTTTTTTTTAAATCGACACAAAACTGTATTTAGTAATGTATAATTATTGTGATTGAGTAGTTTTTAACAATTGGTTTAATATTTTTGACAAATGAAATTTCAGCTTATAATTGTAGTAGATACCTACATTTAAATAATTATTTAGTTTGTATACAATTTAATAATATAGTAATTTGTGAGTAGGTATCTAGTAGGTCCTAGGTAGTCATGTTTTAATACCAATTTTACAACATTAATACTTATTATTCAAATTTCGATCCACATATTTTTAATTTATAATTTTATAGGTAAATAAGATTATAATAATTAATTAATTAATCAATATATTATTATTTATACTTAATTCAATAATTTTTAGTTTTCTATTTGATAACACTGACATTTTCGTCAGTGTGTTTGTCGTCGAAGCATATTGTTTTGTTCCCCGATGAAGAATGCAATTTGCAAGTGGCACACGGAAGTAATTACCAAAATTTATTATAAATAACTATTGTCTATAACAATTTATTCTTTTGTGTGCTGAATTAACAAGAATAAAATATATTTAATCATTTTAGAGATATCTGACGAGAAGAGCCTTAACCTTAACTTCTATGAAGATTGTATTGATAGAGATCTGGGTGTGTGTACACCAAAAACAAAAGGCAACGAAGACTATTTGCGTTACTTTTCACAGTCAGAGAAGCCAGAATGTCAGAATTACGAACAAGTAGCTCAATCGATGAACGATGTCTTGCAATTTTGTGTCGATATGGAGGGCAGTTCTTGGTATGGAGGTGCCGAAGTGACTTTCCAACACTGGCCACTAAACAATCTCAACTGGACGAATAATCCATACGTAACCAAATCATCGGGTGACCAAGCCGTGAGTACCTATTAATCGTTGAACATTTAAAGGGTTGGCGTTTGGTTACAGAATTTTTTCTTAATACTATCGCTTTTACTCAAACTGTAAGCTAGAATATTTGTACGATATTTTTCCGAACCAGAACTTCCGCCGATCATAATTCGTGTACTTATATACCTGTTGCCGATGACATTTTGTACTCAAAATTACACTCTGCGGGAATAACGATACTGCCTTGTAGAATCAACCAAATTTCATAATTTTTTTTTTTTTTAATTGCTAGAGGGAAATATTCTACAGCGCGCATCGATCTCTGTTTTTCAATATTTTATTCTCAAACTTTATAATGTGTCTAAAAAAATACAAGATTAAAAGAATTTTCTTACAAAATTGTTAATACGATTATTTGAAATAAAATACAAAATCAGAGATCGATGTGGGCTGTAGGAAGTCTCCTTCTTTCAGATAAAAAAATAGTCATCAAAATCCGACAATTCTACAAAGCTTGAGAGTTATTCTCGTTAAGTAATTTGTTCGATATAATACACCCTATAAACCTCCCCTAAATAGGTATCGGGTAGTAGATTAGTGGAAAAGTCTTATAATTGAGGTGACATCTAAAATATAAAATTTAATTTTCAAAATGTATAAAATTGTGGAATATTTGAAAAACTATAGCACCGGGTAAAGTACAGCAGGCACAGTGTATTCCAAATTTTTTGATCATACCTCAAATCTATTTCGTATATTTTAATTTCAATTCTGTTCGAGGCTGCTATAACTAATATTGATTTACAATCATAAATTAATATACCTGAATTTCTTTTTCTGTCGTTTTAGGTCATCGAGTCTTATTTCTTCAACTCTGACGGGTATTATATCTATATCGACGAGTCGGTTCCCCTATTCGTAGATATAAACGGTCCGCGACCGGGTCAGATGTGCTTTACGTCCAAAGTCGAGGCTCCGTATAGAAAAACTAGAAATGCGATGCTGTACCGAATTTGCAAGTACAAGAACGCTCGAGTGGCACACGAAAGAGCCATTAAAGATTTCCTCGGCATGCCTTCGAAAATTCCCGATCCGTACGTCGTAAAGTATCCGATTTGGTCTACATGGGCGAGGTACAAAGTCAACGTCAACACGTCGTCTGTCCGAGAATTTGCTCAAGAAATCGTCGACAACGGATTCCCCAGAGGTACAATGGAAATCGATGACAACTGGGAGACTTGCTACGGTAGTGCAGAATTTAATACGTCGAGATTTGCGAACATATCGGAACTCGTCAAAGACTTGAGTATGTATAATACGGCTTATACTATTATGATTAGTAATTATAATGTTCGGAAGTTACAGTTGTAGATAAAATATATCGTAAAAAATATATGCATTCAGATATTTTCAAAAATACTCCGTAGTACGAAAAAACCAAAGTCATCAAAATATAAAAACTTTCCCATTATTATTATAAAATTTATTTCATTTATATTTTACTAACTGATTCCGTGTACTTCGTTACCCGTTCAATGTACCAAATCTATATGACTCAAACTTTGTTCAATTCGTTATTTAATATGAAGTGTATGGTATTCAAAATTTATCAATTAAGAACATCTTAAAAAAAAATTTGAGCCAAATCGGTCCGGCCGTTCTCGAGTTTTAGCGAGACAAACGAACAACAATTCATTTTTATATATATAAGAAGATTGATTTGAATTCAGTTCCCCAAAATTAAAATAAGTTCAGTCCGGTTACTGGTCAGTTTAGGTTTGGTTCTATGCCAGTTATTTTTGGTACTGTTTAAATGTCTGGTATGAACACCAGACCATTATATAGCGATAATTAATAACTATAGGTATGCCAAATAACACATAATATTAAGATTTTCATCAACTGATATTTCTGAAAACTTCGAAACAAAATACTTTGTAATAATAATACTACCTACGTTTTTTTTTATTTAAAAGAATATTATTATTTCACGTTTGCAAAATTATTAAATTTGAATAATTTGAATAAAAATTAAACAAAAAACGGTGAGAATAAACTACGATCACAGAATATTTAAATGTGATATTTGATACAAAAATTATACATATAATTTAAGACGTCTTGTGTATTGCAATTAAACTTATATGCTGATATTTATTTTTACCATAATGTGGAATTCGTATCATTTGTAAATGAAACTAAGCTATAGATTTTAACCATAAAAATAATCATATTACTCAATAACACATGTACATAGTGTAACTAAACGCATATTGCATACATTATTAACGAATATTGAGTTTATTAAATTTAATTAATTTCACAACTAGATTTTTAAATAGTATAAAATATTCAAATATTACATTAATATGTTAATAATTTTTGATTTACTTCGACAGTTATTACAGTTAGGTAGTAATTTGTCATGCTCATACAATATCGAATGCTCATTGTTAATTATAAGATTTTAATAAAAATTAACCACATCGCTAATGTTTTATTTTTTAAATTTATAATGATTATTCGTATGAATGTTCTCTTGAAGAACACTTACATATATTATACCTACTCACCTGATGAATATCTCTTAAAATGTTTTGTGTTATAATTATTTTATAGAATCAATAGGTTTCAAGACGTCTTTGTGGACACATCCGTTCATAAATTTGGAATGTCCTACTCACGAGAAGGTCAAACAGAAGGGATACTTTGTGAAAAGTACATCAGGCACAGTTAATTCCACGTGGTGGAATGGCAATGGCTCTTACATAGACTTCACAAATCCCGAAGCAGCGACTTGGTGGTCTAATGCTCTACATGATTTACTTGCAAAATCTGGTATCGACACATTCAAGTTTGATGCAGGAGAAACCAGTTGGTATGTTTATGTTGAAATTATTAAAATGCCTTTTACGAGTAGTAGTAGTAGTAGTAGTCTGTGGCTGATTTGAAAACTATAAACATGAATATTATTAAGAACGTATCGTTATAAGGCTTTTACTTGAGCTTTTTTTCTTAATACAAATAAATTTTATAATATATACCTACCTATAACAGCAGTTTTATATCTATGCTTAAACATGGTCGTTGCAATACATTTGGCTTCGATGTTAAAACATTAATAAATATATAATTACAGTAAAAAACATTTACAAAACTCTTGTTGTATAAAAATATAATAATATGAATAATATATTATAGGTACACGGTTTAACTATTGTTGATATAGAATTAAAATGATCAACGTATATAACAATTTAATATACAGCCAATAATTAGTTTTGTTACGTACATAAAATATAATAAAAGTATCATTTTTTTTGTTGTTGTTTACACAGGAGCCCGCAACTTCCAGAATATCACGATAACGATCTGACCTACTACCCTGATAACATCGTAAACGCATATATAAAAACACTTGTGACTTTTGGTAGCGGTATCGAGTACAGAGTATCCAGGAGAAGTCAAGAATTCGGTGGTCTTTTAAGGATGATCGACCGCGAGTCTCGTTTGGGATTACAAACTCGGACTACCCACATTGATAACAAGCTCTGATACAAATGATATGATCGGATATCCGTTTGTATTGCCCGTATGATCGGCGGAACGGTTACTACAATGCACCGCCTTCCAAAGAGATGTACATCAGATGGATGCAAGCAAACGTATTCATGCCGGTCGTACAGTTTTCGTACACGCCTTGGGATTTCGATCAACAGGTGCCTACTCGACTGTGTTTGACAAGCTAATATTTATTGACAACAACGGCCATTGACCAAATTAATATACTACGTATTAACACCTAAAATTCTTCTCTTTATAGACTGTTGATATATGCAGAATATTAATGAACCTCCGTGCTAATTATACGGACACCATTGTCGATCTAATGAGATAGTGTGTCAGTAAAGGTAGTCCACTGAATCCTCCAGTCTGGTGGATCGACCCCACAGATCCCGTTGCACAAAAAATTTCCGACGGTAAGTTAATACTTTCAAATTTAAAGTAACTATATTTTCATATTGCAGTTTAATAATTTATTTTTATTCGCACAATTTATAGAATATCTTTTGGGCGAAAATATTCTTGTCGCTCCAGTGATTGTCCAAGGTGCTACATCCCGAGATGTCTACTTGCCTTCTGGGATGTGGAGAGACGAGAACCATACAAATTCACATCTGATTACTGGTAGGAAGTGGTGCGTAATTACCCTGCCAAGCTCGATGTTCTTCCGTTGTTTACCAGAGTTAAAGCTTTCCACCATTTTTAAAATAAATATCCTGCGAAGTTACTTTGAATAAAATTTTATAATGTTATTTTTCTGAATGTACAAACAACAATTAAATACAGTTATTTTTTAAAAATTGTTGCTATGATTATTTTGAAAAATACCCTGCAGCCTTTTCACTAAATCGTTTCCATTTTTTGGTTCTCAGCGAAAAACGGAAAATCCAATTTCAGTTCTTCAAAATAAACAAAATGAGTTCTATTTTGTACTGGTTTTATTCAATATTTCGACACTCGTTTATGCCAGGTTAAAATACCAAAATATATAATACCGTTTATTAGAACACAAGCATGATCAAGGTGGTTAACATAGGTAGGTAAGCTCACAAGTATAGGTTTCGGTTTCAGATTCTATCATGTTTAAACTTTAAATAATGGTTCCAGTATTTTCAAATGGTACTGGTCAAAGAACTGATTCTTTTTGGTAAGGCTCCAACCACCGATTTTATTGTTTAATTTTTGATTTAAAGAGATTGTAATAGCCATAGGCAAAGGTGGGTAATTAACCAGTTAATTATTTATGTTTTTAACTTATTAAAATATACAGTTAAAAAAAACTTAAAATACAAAATTGTAATTTTTTTTAGTTAATTACCATTTTCGTGCAGTTAAGTTAATTTTCTTTTCGTGTCATGTGGAACCAGTTAGACAATACTGATTCGTTGACTTTTTCAATTTTGGTAATTTATTACTAATTATATATTATAATAATCTAATTGTTTACACGTCTTGGTAAATGTTTGTATAAATCAAAATACTAGGGTAGCTTATGACTTAAAAATATTTTAATTTGAAAAAAATTAACTTTTTTTAACTCAGTTAAGTCTTTATCTTAACGTTAAACTTATCAAGTAAAATTTTTTTTTTAACTTATAATTTTTAACTGAAGGCAATTTAATTGAATTAACTTAACTCGCCAAAGCTAGTTGATTAATTTCACTAACTTGCAAACTTTGGTAATATGTGTATCTACTATAGTAGTTATGTCATTATAGTGAATAATTTATTAGCTTAATATACTTCTCTTGGGATCTGACATAAGTAGTGCGTTTCATAAAATTACATATTTTTTTAACTAGGTTCATTCACAAAATGGATCGAGTATTCGTTGTAAAGTCCATTCTTAGTTGTTTTTATCTATTATATCACATTCTGAGGAGGTAGTGAAATAGCTGGCTATCGATATATTAAAATGTTGTTGTCACATTTTAATACACAATGATTCACTCACATACAACTGGCTGCTTTAGTTCCATATAATGCATCGCAAGTGCAGATAGATGTTGGCTGGCTGCATATTATCTAGGTACTTGTTTCATGTCGAGTACCTACCAATTGGACACTATTATAACTGTTGCACGATTGAATATCAACTCATTATTTAATTATTTAATAAATTAACCTATTCAATAACCGGGGCATTGGAGTAATATTTATTGTGAAAATGTGAACCTTTGGATTTTCTTAAAAAAAATCTTAATACTAAATTGTAAATACATTTTGTAAGTTATAACTTACGTGTTATAACTACGAGAAAAAAAAATTTTTTTTTATTACCTAATGATAGTATAAAATAATAAATTGTTATTGACGAAGTCCGGAGAAAACAAGAGATACCTATAATTGTTTAACATAGGCAAATAAAAAGTAAACGATTCAAACATTTCGCAATGACAACAATTCTCTTCCTACATTTATTATTATTCTTATCGTGAAATAATCCTTTTCATTCGTAATTAAGTCTTATGTTTATGGCTGAATGAGTGACAGACTGACAGACGGATTAGAAGTTTGACACTAATAATATTATCGAACACGTTTAATTGTATCCGACACTTACGTCTATGGAGATTGGAGGTACTTGAAGTGTTTACGATATTTGGCAAGAGGACATGTAAAACCTCGTGTGTGGCATATAGAAATTCATTTTAGGGCCATTTTAATTTACACCTTTTGTCCAATTACTTTATCTTTTGAGCATTTCTAAAAGTTATTTTCTAACGACAATTCTTTGCATCAAGTTAGTAAAATTATATAAATTTATTATAAAATATATTACCAAGGTATATAGTATATATAGTATATTATAACTTATACAATGTTATATATTATGTACAATTATTTATATAATAAATATATTCAATATTCATTATTGTTCCTACATAATATTATAGAACCGAATTTGTAAATGATAATTTATTATTGTGACTCTATAACAATAATTATAACAAAAAACAGTGAAACCTCCTCTAATGGACAATCCCTAATAGGTTAAGGCTCCTAGTATATTGTCTCAAAGGCAGATGAAAAATATTAAAAATCCTTAGTCACAGTTTTTTTTTATAAGCATTTAAAGTTCAAAAATTGACAAAATATGGCAAAATCACGAAAATTAGCAAATTATTTCGAGTTAAGAATTAGTAAAAATTTTTCTTTTTAAATCTAATATTTTAAAATGTATTAAAGGATTCCTTATAAGATTATCTACCTTTATCAAAAAAAAAATGTCTATAAGAAAGTCAAATTAAATTTTTATGAGCGTTTGAAGTTCAAATTTTTACAACATTGAATATTCACTCGATTTCTCATGTAGCGATTTCCTTATTTTGTTGTAATTCAAAAACGGATAACTGTAGATACATGACAATTTCACTGAATGTTTATATTAGCAGTTTCTATATACCGTACAATTTTTAAAATATTTTGACTCTTTTTGAGTTGTTTACGGACATTTTCAGTTCTCAATTTTTTTAGTGTTTTTTTCTATGAAAATCACTCAAGTTTTATCTGTTGGGCCAAAAAGTGTAAAAATGTAATACAAGGCTCCTGATATATTTTTACAAAAGCAGTTGAAAAATATTAAAAATACATATGTACAATTTTTTTTTATGATCATTGTAAGTTCAAATTTGGATGAAATTACATAAAATAAACCTAGAATAACTATTTTAGTTATTTTGTTGTGATTGAATAATAGTATTCGTGGGTACTTGAAACTTCTAAAGTACATTTTTATATATCTATGATAGTATCAGGGTTTGTTCTTGATGTAAAACGCGTTATAAGTACCTAATGGATATTGTGATATGATTAATTTGTAATTTATGATAGGTACATATTATAGGTCATTTTTTTTAATACCATAGATAAGTATATAATATGTCTTACCTATACCTATACTGACATACCATCTCCGCTCAGAATCGTTTTTCTTATACAGTGATATTATATCATTGAACTCAAATTTAATACCTTCCATTATACAGTGACCCACTTGTAACCTACTGTACAGCAGAGCACCTTTTTTTCTAATGTATTCTTTATCTATACATACCTACGAATATTTGGTTTTCTATTTATTAATCGGCTTTTAGTGCGGTTTGGTTAGATTAGGATTTTGTATTAATTGATTACATGACTTTGATACTTTAGAGTTAAATTATACACTCACGTATGCACCACGCAGGGTCCACGATTTACCACAGATAGATTGATAAATTGATTACCTGATAATATACTGCTCGCATAATCACAAAAACCTAGCAATAGCAACGCATTGAAATGTCGGCTAATATAATATTATATTTTCAGGTTTTTAAAATTAATTCGATCGTCGGTCGTTGGACACATTAAGGGGCCTCGCAATGGCATTGATTTAAGGACAATCAATTTCTAATCTCGTCGTCGCCACCCGAGATCCATGTGTTAGTCGTAAATGATTATTAGTGTGTGTGGCGTCCATGCGGGTCAATATTAGCGGTGCGGAGAGCTCTCGCACGCACTCGCACACACATGTCAATATATAATATTGTGATCACGAAAAAATGTTTATTTTTCACTCAAACATACGATTCTAATTCCAATATTACGTCTCAACGATTACCTCGATTTTCATTCTGACAGAATATTCTTATTTTCCACAGCATGTACGAGGGATCGATCGATGCACATTTTTAAAATTGTATTTAGTTAATTAAATATTTAAGTTGAAAATTGTGTACATTTTTTGAATTTTTTACAATTTTTATTGCAATTTAAATTACAAAAATTAAAAATGTGACTCGATCGTTCCCTTGTATACATATATTACGGACAATCAGAATATTTTTTCAGAATGAAAATCGTTATAATTGTCGACACGTATCGTTGGAATTAGAAACAGTAGTTTTTGACAAAAAAAAAGACGTGGTAGTGAGGCCCCTTAATAATTATTATTTTACTTAGTTTCAGCGGGGTTTGCGTTTTATATGAACACAATATAATATCTA